CCCCAAAACCCCAAAACCCCAAAACCCCAAAAGTGGTCGGGCGTATTGAAAATCCTGAAATTTTTAAGGTGATGAAGGGTACTCTTATGAATAGTGACTCGCAGTTCTTCAGGAGCTTTGTGTATGGTGATTTTATATCTTTAGTTTTTAATTCTTTTCTATATTGAGAAGTTAGAATCTTAGATGATACAAAAGGATAACTAAAAAATTGAAAGGGTTGGAAAAGAAGACTTTTCTATCGAAAATCTGAGAAGATTCAGCATCACCTGCTTTTAAACTAAAACTCAGTGAAAATCTATTATGGTTAACTTACGAGCATCCTGAACTTCACAATATCCTCAAATCTGGCACTGATAATCGTCATATGAATTCTCATATGTTCACTGAGGACAATTCCACTTACCCATGAGATGATCATAATTGATAGTTGGAGCTTTTACACGAGCTGTCTTTGGTCTCTCTTTCTTCATTGAAACTGACTATAAAATCAAAAGTTGAAGTTATATTTGATGTATAGAGACAAAAACCAAGATTGCATTCGAATTATAAGATTCTTTGGTGGTATTCTTAAGAAAAATCTACTTGGGAAATGATTTCTCTCCCAATTCTTGTTTCTCAGAAATTGTAAATTTATTTTGCAAAGTCTGGAGAATACTCACCTGTTGGAATAAGTCAGCAAAAGTTATTCTACAATTTTCTTTCTTATTTATTGGCTTTTCAGGTTCTTTCACTTCATCTCTCAATGGCTCGTCCAAAATATGGGAAAGGTCCATGCCAGCACCAGAGTTCTTCAAAGTTTCATTTTCCTTATTTCAGCTTGCGAATGATATGGGTGAGCTCAAATATAGCAAAGTTGGTCGGCAGGGAGGCTATCTTGGATCACTTCTGGATTAGCCTGCACTCGACTCATTGGATCTTGCCGTCCTTCACTAGGGCTCGGATTCAATCAACTCAGAAAGTATGGCCTCATTTTGGCAGGACCTTTGGAACACGATCAACATCATGATAGTCAAGCATGCATATACTTCATTCCATTTCGTAAGAATAGTTATAAATTTTAATTAAATTATGGAGGTAAGGGGTTTTGGGGTTTTGGGGTTTTGGGGTTTTGGGG